TGATCTCAATAGCTTTCACCGAGTTTTCAACATATGTTGGCCTCTTTTTCATCGATGAGGTTGTTTTTGGTGTAGAGGCCGTTGTGTTACGCTTAGGTCGGGAGAATGGGCTTAGCCAGCCTACGTGTGCTTTACGATCTGAAGCTAAGCAGTCCGTTAGTTGGGCGTCTTCATCCGTATCGGCTCGATCAAGCAGATACCGTACTAGGGTCTCAGCCGACTCATTGAGTAAAACGTATGCAAAAACAAATAAATAGTTTTCAATTTACCGGAAATATGTCTGATTGAAATAGATCTATACTTTCGAACGAAAGTAAAGTTAATCTAAATGAAATACATCTGGGCGTATGGCCGCCAGTTTACAGATCATGCGTGCGTTAGCACGTATGCGGTATCCAAAAAGGAGCCCAGACAAGCGGTTGGACCCCCTCAGAATGCGTTCCGGTCGAGTGCGGAGCTCGATATGCCGCTAGATAACCATGACGCTCATGCTTACGCCCAGCGCGCGCGGTACTTGGTCTCGAACATCGTGACCAATCCGATCGACGAGGCGACAAAGGTCGTCACGTTCAGGAAAGGATTGAAGGATGGGTCGGTTGAGACCGCGCCGTAGGGCCGTAGTTTCTTTAATACAACGCTGGGTAGTCCTCTTGAATAGACTCGGCTGTGCGAGGCTCATAAGTCTGATTGAGATACGGAACTGTATGATACAGGATAAGACCATCCAGCGGTTGCCATATCCCTAAGGATATCAGCACATATCGTTGCCGTCTACAATACTAGCTATTTAACCAACTGCAGCAAGAAGATCGTTATAAAACAGGTTTGTATTGGATCTTCATCGCCTTCTTCCGAGTCATCCTCATCACCTCCTTCAACGCCATCTTCCATTTTCGCTGTCGTCACCATTGGAGCACCCGTCGTCATTTTCAGCATCGGATTCCATAGCTTCATACTCCGCAGGGTCGTCCGTCTCTACGATAATATTGATATCTGATATAACACAAATATACAATCTAAGATCAGTAATCTGTATTGCTAACGTGCTCACACAATGCAATACATACCATCGGCAAACGCAGCAATTCTTGCCGATCGACGAGTACCAGCATTATCGCCTGAGCTGGCTGTGTCATTAACCGCATCAAAGTCCTTCTCCTGACTACACTGGGTATCAAGGACATCTTCCGAGCTTGATGCATCGTCAGATGGAGGTCATACGCCAGACGAGTTGACACATGGGGGACTCATGTCGTGGGGTCGGTGAGAGATGAGGCGAGTTGCAACGCAACGTTGGCGAAGGCTATCTCTCATCACTATTACTGCGTGAGTACCAGCTAAATCAGATACATGTTATATAGAGCGCTAAACTAAAAATCACAAATAAGTAACACGTCTTACCGTTCTCTACGGTTGTTTACTGAACAATAACATCACTCGCCATCCTGCTGGCACTCATACGCTGGTCATTTGCTTCGGCACTGCCTTCCTCGTGTGCTGACACTGCTGTTAGGTTAAGAGTGTATCATACAAGCTTAGCCAACGGATATCCTGTATCATACAAGATGACGGAATCTATATACCGCTAGCCATCTCAGCGACTGTTCCCTCACGCTCTACGCTTTCGCCGGTCGCGTGTAAAGTTTTTTTTCTCGTGATGTGGGAGCTAATGTTTTTCTAGCAGCTTTCTCTGTATCAATAAAATGCGTTAGGCTGTTAATGCGCTTGCTAAAGCGTCCAAAGATGTTGGCTGTAATAGTTTATCGTACGTATCCCACATCATCCTAAAATCTCTTAGTCTTAATTTTTAGAAGATGCAACGATACACGACAAGAGTAGGTGAGACAATCAGGCAAAACACTTTCCTCAATTTCATTTAAAATCTGTAAACTCTTTTACAAATTTGATGCTAAAAATCCTTATCGTGTATGGTCCAGGATTAGCATTTTCTGATATCGTGTTTAATACAGGCCGTCGCGTTCAAGGGCTAATGCCCTCGCACGACAATCGACAGAAGAAAAAAAACTTGGCGGAGCGTGTTTGGCTAATTGAGAAGCGCGGGCTACAAATACGAGACCATCGGCCTCAGCACATAATATGTAGATAATTTTTATCTTGCTCGTGGCACCTATGTCTTAGCTACCCCAAATTTTACCGTAAGATTTTGGTCGACGGACTATATCAATTCATTACACACAAAAAACGTACATGCACCGGGATACCCAACTCACATGTACCGGTATTAACCCCTTCAACCCGGCTGATTTTCCACACCCTAACGCTGTATATACATCGCATTAACATATAGGAAATTGTATCCAAACGCGGGAAAGGATTAGAAGATAGGCGGGTAAAAAATGATCAAGTCATCTCGAGCACTGATTAAGCTGTATATCATGGGGGGGATTGCGCTGTATATATACAGCTTGTAGTGTGGTGTGTGCCACTTGGGTAGCAGAAAAAATCTCTAATAATGTGAAAAACGTGTCACAAACAGGGCGTCTGCACTGGCATACTGAAATGCAGTGCCATTTTCCTGCAATCAACTGATGTCGAGACTGCCGTGCATACAAACTTTCTAACATACTCCTTGTCATCAAACAAGTGCATCCACACACCTCCAAAACGTGGATAAAGACGGGATGGCAGTCGCAACATCAAGAGAGACGCAAATAGTGAAGCTACTTCATTGATCACACAGAATTTATCCTGGGGAGGCAGCAGCGGCACGGCGGCGCTTGGCAGGAGACTTGCCAGGAGATCCTGTAGTCTTTGCCGCGCGCACTCGGATCTTACCCTTCTTGTGCGCTGGAATTTCAGCGCCGTTCTTGTATTCATTGTGCCACACGTCCCAACAGCTCTTGATTGTACCCTTCATTGGCCACTTCGGCTTCGTGCACAAGTATATTGGCCCCGGAAAGTCACACCCATCGCAATAGTACGTTGTGGTGGCCCCCCTCTTGCCATCTTCGGTCAAAATTGTGCATACCTTGCAGTTCTTCTGCACTCGCTTCCTCTGTCCGGAATGGTCTCGCCACTCTTCATTTAGTTTCGGCACGTGTCCGCTGGCATCGACGGACTCGCGCTCCTCGACTGAAGTGTAGCCATCTGTATATACACGTTAATGTTAACAGTACATACAGCATGTCAACCAAATAGTGCTTACCTGTGCTGAAAGTGTTCTCTTCGTACATATCCTCCACGGAAAGTGTGATCAGTTGCTTGTGCAGCTTGCACATGTATTGCGCGTGTGTCATCGCTCGAATCTGCCTCTGCTTGCAATATGCTTTGTGCACGATGTACCCGTTTGTAATCGCGAGATCAACCAGCCCCAGGAACAGTGACTTATAGTATTTCCGGAATGTGATCGAACGCTGAACGGAGTACCGTTGCAGGCGGAGTTTGATCGTGCACATCAACTCCGCCCATAAACTTATGGTAGTCCTTGATGACCTTGGGGCACGCCACTTCATTCTGTTCTCCGGTCTTCTCTCTTCTAACCACACGGTCTAGCTCCAGGTTTCCACCAACCGATAGGAAATGCACAGGTTTGCTGTCCCACCAGCATATCGGAAGTCATCTTTTTTACA